TTACCCGATTAAAAGAAAAGACTCCAAGGGTATGAAGGCTTAAAGGAAGGTCTGAAGCAAGAGTAACTTTTGCAGAAAAGCTTACTACGAGTGAATCCTTACTTTCAATGTTTTAACGGTGTATTAAGTCCATATCAATATCCAGTTTGCACCTGATCTAAATCAATCACTTCTTTAAACATCTCAACTCATTTTCTTCTCATATCCATAAGTCATCATGTTTCATTGATTTACTACGATGTAGAGCAGTGATCCGGTTTCTTACTATCCGGGAGAGACGGCTATTCGAATCGATGTACATGTCAAAGTCCATATTCGAAGTGACGGGAGCCATACTCTGATGTCTCTCTTGATTGAGATGTATGCTTCTAATCTATGCTTACTGTGCTCTCTGCAGGTATGAAGTTGTTGGATGCTTTGCATGGATAAGGTTAAACATGCAGTTATGATGGCCTTGCCTTCAGTGGTGGAACTTGACTGGAAATTTAGAGGGACCACCACTTAATATAGTGAGAATACATGAGAAAGAGGGGATCAGTTCCATGCTTAAGCTTCAATTTAGCCTTGAGGCCTAATGCTTCCCCCATGGATTAGGAAAAGTGACGGGAGCCATGGCCCACCCTGGCCATCACTAAGCTCCATCCATGCTTGCCTTTAATCAACATACAACACATACACATGAAGATCAATCAAGTTCAGCTATTGTTTCATATTTTAGTTTGAATAACTGAAGAGTGGAAGGATTGCCTTTCTGGCTGGGTACAGATGGCCCTCACCCCCTTAGTCGCCTATTTCTGGCAGTGGCAAGAACACAGAAGGTTGCCGTCCTTCATTTGGCTGGAGACTTGATCATATCAGTTACCTAGACTATGAATGGACTTAAAATTCCTGTCTGTGGTTGGTGCAGAACAAAGCCTCAACGGTGCATGCTGATATGATATCTGGTCCATGCCATCTGATATTCTGATCTGAGACATCTAGTTGCACCAAGCGAGCTGGGTCAGGTACTCTCATCAGGTGTGTGACATTGGGATTTCAGAGACAGGCTAGACGGTTGTACAGGCAGCACAATCAAAGCTTGAGATGTCGTCAGCCTAAGCTTGCTCTGTCAGGTCAGTTTTGACCTCATCTAACGACCTAATATACCTTTTAAATTGGACATTTTTAACAAAAGAAATATACCATTGATTTGTGAAGTTTACACACGGCATTTTGTTGCAATTATTTATGTCAGTAGCATGCCAGGCTCTTTTGTTGCAATTATTTATGTCAGTAGCATGCCAGGCTCAGTGTCTAGTGCCAGCGGTTGTGGGTTCTGGCTTATGCTGTTTTTCAATCAGCAGTATGTGATAGCTTGTCTCTGTTTCTTGGCCAGTAGGTTTAGTTGCCTGTTGTGCATTGTAGGTTACTTAGAACTCTTTGAGATATATCCATGGACTTTCGGAAAGTTTTTTTTTTTGATAAGCTCTCGGAGAGTTTTATGTTGTTCTTCAAATGACATAAAAGGGACATATACTGAAGGACACATCAATAATGTCTTAGTAATGGAATACTGTCATATATTCTCTGAGATACTGACGTCAGCAGTCTGAGTTACACCTTTGGATTCAGTTTGACATGTATCTAACTACTTAACTAGCAATGCATTTCTACTTATGTTGATGACTTGCTACTAGCTAGGCGACATCCATGCCTATAGTTTGCACTTTGCACCATGGTTTCAGGTATTCGTATTTTTCACTGCAAGTTGTTGCATAAATGCTTTAACACTTGTTCAATTTTGCATGGAAGCATTGAACATTTGAAAGGAAAAGGAACGATTTGCACTAAATGAATGTGGGAGTGTGGGTTAGGGGTGGGGGAGTGGGGAGGGACAACAGGCAGGAAATAATAAAATAAAATCCGAAGCTAGCGAGGCTTTTTTTTTGTTAAGTGTCTCTGCTCTTCTCCTCACGCCCAGGGCAAAGGCCGAAAGGCTCCCCCGCCAGATTGTATCCACAACAGGGCAGGCGCGTAAAGTCATTTCTCTTTTGTCACATCTAGTCGTCAGTGACATGATAGCTCGACATGTCTATGTACTAGGATTAGATGGGTAGAGTTGTATATATAGTTTCCCACAACCTTTCGGTAAAGAGAAGCGAGTTCGGTTTGCCATCTCTCTCTGCAGAGCTCGGCTAACGCAGCTTGCGCGTGTTGCGGATGATCACGACGACGAATTCACACTTGGTGGAGTTCACGCTGACTCACGCGGATCGGGTGTGGTGCGACACCATACCACATCGTACTAAATCAAAGCGAGAATGGCGTGGTGGGAGCGGCGGAACCGGACGGTGGTCGACATGGCTCAATCCATGATGAGAGGAGCTCGTCGTCGGCGTGTATGTGGATGACTTTGATCGTCATCGGTACGCGTGCGGAGGACATCGATAGCTTCAAGCGCGAGATGGCGGCTCGTTTTCGAATGAGCGATCTCGGCGCACTCTCCTACTACCTCGGCATCGAGGTGAGACAGGGGAAGGAGGCGCTCACCCTCGGTCAGAGCGCGTACGCCTCGAAGCTGTTGGAGCGGAGCGGCATGGCTGAGTGCAAGTCGTGCGTGACTCCGATGGAGGAGCGGCTGAAGCCGACGAAGGCCAGTACCGCGATGAAGGTAGATGCAACACTCTACCGGAGTATCGTCGACGGTCTGCGCTACCTAGTCCACACGAGGCCGGACATTGCGTTCGCCGTGGGCTACGTCAGCCGCTTCATGGAGGATCCCCGAGAGGATCACTGGGCCGCGGTGAAGCGGCTGCTGCGCTACGCAAGTGGATGGTGGATCAGGAGATCATCTTCCCCAAGACCGGCGGAAGTGGGCTACAACTCACTGTGTTCAGCGATGCAGACATGGCGGGGGACATCGACGGACGACAGAGCACCTCTGGCGTGCTCGTCTTCCTCGGGTAGGCTTCAATCTCATGGCTGTCGTTGAAATAGAAGGTGGTGACGCTGTCCACGTGCGAGGCAGAGTACGTAGCGGCGGCCACAGCGGCGTGCCAAATTGTGTGGCTGCGCTGGCTGCTGGGCGAGCTGACCAGTGTGGAAGCTCACCCATCAGTATTGATGGTGGACAACCAGCCCGCCATCGCCCTTGCGAAGAATCCGGTTCTCCACGATCGGAGCAAACACATCGACGTCAAATTCTACTTAGGGACTGTGTCGATGGAGGGCAGATCGTCATCGAGTTCGTCGAAACTGGTCGGCAACTCGCGGACATCCTCACCAAGCCGCTCGGCCGTCTTCGGTTCACGGAGCTGAAGAAGATGATCGGCATGGTGGAGGTTCTAGGGTTAGCAGTAGGATTAGAGGAAGAATTGTTAAGTAATCTGCTGCTCTTCTCTCAGACGCACTGTAGGGCAAAGGCGGTGAAAGGGCTCCCTATTTGTTGCACTATAGCCATTGCAGAGGGGCATGCCTTTGAAAGGCTCCTCGCCATACTTTGTAGCCACAGTGAGGGCAAACACCAAAGTCAGTCCTGCTGTCATATCTAGTAACTGTAGCAGCATGACAGCCTGACATGTCTGTGTACTAGGATTAGATGGGTAGAGTTGTATATATAGTTTTCTACTGCAACTCAGTAAAGAGAGCTGAGTTCAGTTTTGCCATCTCCTCTGCAGAGCTCCGGCCAACGCTGATGCTTATGCTGTGTGTGTGCTTTGTTCTCTCTTCTTTTTTTTACCTCTAGCCATAGTGTATAGTCGGCACATCGGTGAGCGGTCGGCTCACCCGTGTGGAAGATCGGGGGCCAACATTCTTTCTGCACTAAATGTGGTCAGGGACCATCTGCTTGCCGAGACTGCAATTGCTTCACCTCTCTGCAGGTTCGTTCTTCTATTTATTATTTTTTCCTTGAGTAGTACACCTCTCTGCAGCTTGTATATATCTAACAAAATAAAATAGTATGCTACTGCGTACTGCCAAAAGATACAAAAGAAGTGCGGCAACAAGTCATGGAATGCATGGTCTACTCCATGCTTGCTAGAGAAATGGAGCCTATCTCCCACTCAATTTTAAGTTCTTGTTGAGGTCAACTTGGGTACCTATTTCTTATTTTCTTGATTAAAAGGCCACCTAGTTTATTCAAGCTTGGTTGATTTTCCTTTTTATTACTCCATGCTCACTAGGCATAGGTATAAAGTAAAAACTTTCACTACAGACATACATAATTAAGTAAATTTACATTTATTTTGTTTAGAAAAGGAAATAACTCTAGCTCTATCAATGGACATATACAAACAAAACACTCATTCAACTGATCTGAAATTCTGAATGCATCTCAGTTATGCACAAGGAAAATATCAGATACAAGTAACGTAATTACATCATCTTGACATGCTTACATATCATTTATTTGGTCATAATTGCTTATTCATGTTACTATCTCTTAGAGCATGACTAATAATACAACCACTGCTGGCTGGATGTACATTTACAACCCTAGCTGGTTGTAAACTTACATATCACTTCTCTTCTCTCTCATACATCTTAGCATAAAGTCTACTTACAACCCTTTATCAGAGCCTATTTGGTTACAAGGGCTAATTGTTAGCCAGCTAAAAATTAGCTAACATTAGTCCCAGCCCATTCAAACAGGAGACTAATATGTGGGCTAATTTTTAGCCATGCCTTCAACTAGTTATTAGCCAACTAGTTTGCCAACCCTAGCTAATTTATGCTAATTTTTAGCTCCAGCTAATAACTAGCCAGGCCCGTATACTTGCTCTTATTTTTGTGACTTGTGATTGCCAGTGTCAAACTATCTACACAAGTAACATGTCACTAACTAGATGGCGGTGCCTCTTACTTGGGAATTTTGACTATGCATGTATTGTTCTTATCTCATGCTTGTGTAAAATAAAACGTATATGTAATAAAATTCTCCTAAAGTAACTTGCACCGACAAATTAACCTACCCAACTCGATCACGTGTATCGGCTATCATGTTCGCTTCTTTCTTGGAGCTAAAGCAGCATGCTGGGAACTGAGCAATAGCCGTCGGAGATCTCCATCTGCTCGGGGGCCTCGTCGAACAACCACTTCTCTATGGAGGACAGCTGCTGCAGCTTGGGCTTGTGGTAATCCCCGTGTCCCGTCAACGCCTGCTGCTGCTGCTGCGGCGGCGGCATCAGCAGTGGCACGTCGTCGGAGATGGGTGGTAGTGCACCGCCGGACTTGTGATCGAAAGGGTTGATGTCGATGACCGAGGAGGGCTTGATATTGGTAGCAGCGTCATCCTGCGTCTGGGAGCTCTTCATGAAGCCGTTGAGCAGCTTGGATATGTTGTCCATGCTGGAGGCGTACGGCGACGAGAAGGTGTCACCGTTGGTGGCAGCGAACGGCGGCGAGCACTGGCCGATGAATTGGGTGACCTCATCAGCTGGAGCTGGTGTGCTGCTGGCTGGGCGAGCGTAGCTGTCCTTGGAGAGGTCATGTCATCATGATGGCAATCAGCATGGGCGGCGGCGGCAGTGGGTACCGCCACCGGTATGATGGAAGGTTCGGAGGGCGGACGTGGCGCGAAGATGGCGCCGATGGCTTGCTGCTTCTGGAGCTTCTTCTTGAGGTGGGTGTTCCAATAGTTCTTGATGTCGTTGTCTGTTCTCTGCGGGAGGTAAGAAGCAATGGCGGCCCACCTGTTGCCCAGCAAGGACTGGAGGTGGACGATGATGCCTTCTCGTGGGGGTGAAGTTGCCGCGCCGAATGCCGGGGCGGAGGTAGTTGGTCCAGCGGAGGCGGCAGCTCTTGCTGCAGCGCATGAGGCCGGTGTTGATGGGCACGGAGCGCCAGTTGCCGGGGCCGTGCTCCTGGATGTAGGACACCAGGATGATGTCCTCCTCCGGGGTCCATGGCCCTTCTTGATCCCCACCTTGTCGCAGCACGGCGGCCTGCCCATCGTCGATCCGGCCACTAGCTTGTGTCTCCGGCGGCCGGTGCCTGGCTAGCTACCTGCAGCTAAGCTTCTGGAGTTGTGCCCATGAAGAGTGTGACGGTACGTTATATATAGGAGTAGGACGACTGGACGAGAGAGCTTGGTAGCAAGTAGCAACTACGTGACTACGTGAGCACAGCTAATTTGTTTTCACCTCATGTCTAAGAGCAAGTACAGTAATGGTTTTGTTTTCACTCATGTCTAAGAGCAAGTACAGACGTACAGTAATTGTTTTGTTTTCACTCATGTCTAAGAGCAAGTATAGTAATGGTTTTGTTTTCACTCATGTACAATGATTAATTGTTTTATGTAGAGAGAAGAGCGAGGGAAGAGGAAGGAGAACTTGACTGATGCAAGTAATAAGCTAGATATGGAAGCCTATACAGTGGTGGGCCTAGACATCAAATGAACATGAGGAGATTTAGGAATGAGAAGGTGCGACATGTGTAAGCAATAATAAAAAAATTATATAAGACAAATAAGATACAACTGTTGTATAGCTTATCTTACAACTTGACTTATAGCCAAACCCTCGGCTCTATTATTGGGCTTGCTTTATATGTGTGTATATATAATCATCCCTCAGTTCTTTGATTCTTTTGTACATCAAATTTCCTATGTATCTAGAAATAATGTATGTACATAACAAATTCAATGTATCAAAAAAGTCAAAGTGGCTTATAATTTAGAACGGAGTGAGTATAATATTGCACATGCATGCTTTCCCTTTCTACAACACTTTGATGTTTAAAGCAAGGATTACCTAGAGGGAACTGTTTGATGTTGTTGACTACTACTGCTATTACTGTGTGTGAAATTTAAAGCTAGGGTTTCTAGACCTTTATTTGCACGCTCGATCACTCGAGGCAATTTATTCCGTCATGTATGAAAGAGGTCGCTAGAGTTGGATGACAGCTATATTCCATCTACATACTAATATATATATGGTTCTTGCAAATTCGTTTTTCACATTATTATTACTTTGAAATGAAAAATTCATGATGTCCAAAAAAATAAAAAGATTGTTGATACGGTAGTTCCTTGCGGTTGAAAACTCTCGAAGTACGTTTCTCCTTGTCTAGATTTTTTCATTCAAGCATTAACGATTATCATAACCAAGGTACGCATATAGTAATATTTAGTCGCAGAACATGAGCTGCAAGACTAGCTGTCAAGTGAATGCATGGACCCGGCCGGCCCACACACATGTGCAAGATCGAGTGCATGACTTTATCAAGTGATGAAGAAGTAGGTCCACCCTCATAACACGGCAATTTGCAGTGTATAGTAGGCCCACATATATACATCCATATGCATAATGCATTGGCATGCAATGCGCTTCCAGCCCACTGCAAATTATGTGGAGAAATTGATAGTTACTCGTATATTATATTATCTCCTACATACATTACGTACAGGTCAGAAATCGGCACCCACACATGCATGCAAGATCTTTTTTTTTCTTCTTCTTATTCATTAATCATTTCTTACGTGGATCACAATAAAATCAATCGATCAGGATCTCGTTACTCTTGAATCTTGATGATGCCCTCCATTAATACTCAATGTGTGTGTGCCTCTCTCTACACACATATATAGCCCATAAAGCATAGACTATATATTATACACACACACACATGCTAGCAGTAACTGCTAAAAAAGTATCCGTAGAGACTTCTCTCTCTTTTTTTAATAAGGGCGGTTCAATCTAAAATAGTCTCTAACAGTAGTTTCAAAACAATCATTATCTATAAATCGATTTGAAGGGACGGCTCTAGATCCCGTCGCTCCTATAGAAATCGATTTCTAGAGATGGCTGGATCTATAGCCGCCTCTGAAAATGAGCGTCGAACAGTAAAATTATATACTCCCCCGTACTAAAAAATAAAGTTGTTTTGGACAAGGCTTGGGTCAAACATTGAGAATATAAATCATAAATAACTTTTAAGTTGTTGAGTTTAGAAATGTGAAAGCTATATAAATATATTTGTCTTGAAAAATACTTTCATAAAAATATACATATATCACTTTTTGATAAATATTTTTATAAAAACAAGGAGTCAAAGTAATACTTTGGAGACCGTGTCGCTGTCCAAAACGACTTTATTTTTTAGTATGGAGGGAGTATTGCAATTTGAATTTTTCAAACGGTCTTGGATGGAGAAACTGCCAAAACGAAAGTTGAAGATCTTGAAAAGTTATAGAACTTTGTAGTTGACAACTTTTTATTTATTTAAAATCATCTATCCATACAAAATTATGTTTGAAGTTCTCACATTTGAAATTTAAAATTTAAAACGACAGAAATTACCAAAACTAAAGTTGTAGAGCACAAAATGTTATACAACTTTATAGCTGACAACTTTTTCATTTGAAATAATCAAATGAGTATAATCTGAAAAGAAATAATATCTCATATGAACACAAGTGAGTATGGGGTGGAGTGGTTAGAAGAGTAATGCACAAGGCGTGAAGTCGTAGGTTCGGACCTGCCGTGACTTTGTGACTTGAGCTGGGCAAAAAAAATGTCACGGTTCGATGATTTCAGAGATGGATGGGTAGGAACGGCCGCCCCCAACCATCCCTACAAACCATCATGACTGTCCTAGAAAAGCAGTGAGCGGCGACGACGCGATAGGGCGAGAGAAGCGATGATGGGCACGATTGGACCAACAATAGCGATGGGCGCGGTGGAGTCCGCCCGGGCCCTGGCAATTGGAGCATTATTTGTGAGGTTGTGCATGATTGAGGTTGGCAAGTGCTAGTGCTCGGACGTCCGGATGAACACACGCGTCCGTACGCCCGTGGCTGCTCTCCGTTTCCCGCTCTTGTTCCGTGCAGTGCACCCCAGTTGCTCGGATTCCGCGCTGCTCGGACGACTCGCCCCACCCACGCCGCCCGCCCACACGTGGGGCCGTATGCGCCCCTCTGTGTCCCCGCCAAGCTCGAACTGCTATGGCTAGATGTAGGGAAGGGAAGGGAGGAGAGGGGAGGGAGAGGAGAGGAGAGGGCAAGGCGCACCATGCGAGGTAGGAGCCAAAGCCCTGCGGCAGGCCGCTGTCCGCCAGCCATCGGTGCCATTGCAACATGTGCAACACATAATCTACTTTTAAAACATCAGATGAAACATTTGCAATATACGTATGAAGACAGATAAAACACTTGAAACATGCATCTAAAACAGTTGCAAAAAAAATTGAAAACACTTGAAAAGCCATTGCAAAACATATAAACATCTAGATAAAATACTTGCAACATATGTGTGAAACATATGCAACATCCAAAATAAACATAATATGCAACATTCTTCTGAAAACACAAATAAAACATTTGGAACAGACGTACGTATATAACCATTACAACATATGCAACATTCCGATCTATCGTGATCTCGTTACTCTTATCTTGATGCCCTCCATTAATACTCACTGTAACTAGCTATATTGTAGTGTGTATATATATATATGCGCGCGCGCGCACATATATAGCCTACAAAGTATATAGAGCACGTATATGTAATAATATATTTATATTTGTGTATATATATGTATAATAAACACACACATGCGACACAGTGGCGACGGCACGGTGGGGCCGAGAGCAGCGGCTGACGGGCACGATTGGGCCAACAACAGCGACGGGCCCGGCCCCGCGGATTGGAGCATTATTTGTGAGGTTACGCACGATTGGGGTTTCACTTTCACCTAATTTACAGTTGTGATAGCGTGGACATTCAAAAAGTTTACTACCGCAGTCTACAGGAGGTGGCTCGGGATTTTACTGTTATTACGGTGATTCAACACGTAGTGAGCTATATATATTTTTTGTTTTGAAGCGAGGGTGATATATCCCCCATTTCCATTATTACTGGCATAACGGAAATACATCAGCAACTGAGACTGTTTATATATAGTGAGCTAAATAGTGTCATACATAAATATAATTATAACCCAGTGGATCCGATTCCGATCCACAGTACAGTGTGGTGTGGCCATGCCCTGCGACGGTACGTGTACGACCCTGCTGCAGTAGCTCTTTCTGCGCTAGCTTGTGGGAGTTTGGAGTTCCACGTCCTCAGCCCAACCAGTCGCTTTCCTCCCATTTATTTATATAATCCCACGTGAGGTACTATTCCTAGTATTTACTATATATAGCTGTGTTATATAGATACGTTTTCTAAAAAATAACTTTAACTATATATATATATAATATTAATATTTATAATATATAATTAATATCATTAGATAGATATTTGAATCTACCTTTTAATAAATTTATTTAAAAATACAAATGTTGCATTTATTTTTCTACGAATCGAGTTAAATTTTCGGCACAGAAACCAACGGCGACAGATGGAGTATAGCCGTGTTCACACGGGAGAGGGAACGTACACACACCGCCTCTTTCCAAGAAAAAAAAGCAATTTTAGGTGTATTCTAGGCCAACGTGTCTGAAGTTTAACCAGATATATAAATAAAAGTATTAATATTCACGCTTGTTGGTTTCAGTCAAGCTTATTCAACCAGCCAACAGTGTTTTCCTCTCACAACAAACCAGCACCAGCCAGTCCAAATCAGCCCAGAAACCAACCAACGAACACGCCGATTTATGACATCAATTAAGTATAATATAAAAATATATCTTATGATAATTTAATGATACGTAGTTGATACTATAAATATTAATACTTTTCATTTGATATTTAGTCAAGCTCATGATACTAAAAACATGGTACTGTGTGCTAGAGTGGACGGAGAGAGTACTATTTTTCTCGCATAACCTTTTTTTTGTTCAAACTCGCTAACTTAGAGTTTAGTCCAACAATTTGAAATCTTATATATATATATATATATATATATATATATATATAAATATTACCCTGTAGTTGGCTACAAAATAACTTAGGCACCGTTCGCGTGTTCTTAAACCCGGCTTGATTCGTTTCTTTTTTCATCTAGAACAGT